CTATTTCCTAGGTTGAAGGGTCAAGTGTTAGATAGATGAACCCAATACCTGGTTAGAAAATAGCGTTGAGTTTCGTTTGTAAAGCCAAACTAGCCTAAACGACATAGATATATTCTAGACCTCGTCCAAAGATGTCTGTTCCATGTTAGAAAGATCGCTCGGTGGGGCTCATTATTTTGTTTCTTTTATTGATGACCACTCCCAGAAGGTGTGGGTTTATTTGTTGAGTACCAATAATCTCCAAGCCTTCAAAGAGTTTCATGCTATGGTGGAAAGGGAGACTGACAGGAAGCTGGAAATTTTTTGATCTAATAACGGGGGAGAATATTGTGACCTTTTTTATGCTTACTACGAGTCAACAAGAATAAGGCTTGAGAAGACGCCTTCAAGACACCTCAACTGAATGTAGTTAAGAGCAAGGTTGTTAAGATTAGGATTTTAACTAAGATGAGACGGGAATAAAAAAATCATAAATTGTGGGATCAACACGAATCGTAAGGTCTTACATTTTTAATTTTAATTATAAAAAATAATTTATATATATATATATATATATAAAATAACATTTAAATTACAACTTCAATTATAAAAGACATTAAATATCTATGATAGTGATAAAAAATTAAATATAAAAAATTTGAATCATCATTTAATTTAAATAAATTCAAGATTTTATTAATAATTTTTTATATAATAAATAAATCTTATTTAAAATATTAAATTATACTTAATATGTCTAAGAAAAAATTAAAAATGATTATTACATTTAATTGAAAATTGTAAAGGATATTTAATTACCAAACAATTTTTATTAATTATTAAAAAATTTATTCTGTTAATTTAAATGAAAGAAAACACTGAAAGAAACTTGTATTGTTCAAAAATAATAATAGGATGTATTATTTCACAAGTCATTTTTTATCTCTTCATCCTACGAGGCTTTGTGTCTCTTCATCCTGCAGGGCTCTTTCTCTCTCTTTCTTTCTACCTATCTTCCAGTGGCCAAGTTTGCTAGCTAATAGTTTTTCCTTTTGTGGATACGATTTTCGATGACTGCATCTGATGGCCAACACCTTCTTTATTCTCTTCCTCTTTTTTTCATTATATGTACATCTGTGTCTTTTTTCATAAATCACTGGGATGGTGGAATTAGAGGATCCCACCGATTTTATGCCTTTACTTATTGATCTTAGCCAATTTAAGAGGAAATCGATCTTATATACGATCCAGATCACTTAAAGGAAAAAAAACATAGGATCGTACAATACTACAATTTTTCTCATAATTCTAACAACAATAGCTGGGAGGATGGATCAGACTATCGAAGAAAGGGTCTGAAGTATGCTATCACATACTGGATTGTCAAAATCATTTTGAGGAGAGGCCATCAAGACTGCGGTAAACTTAATAAACCTGTCACCATCGAGGCCCCTGGAAGTAGAAATTTCAGATAAAGAATGAACAAGTCAGAAAGCGACCTATGATCATTGGAAAGTCTTTGGATACCGAGCCTTTGTGCATATTTCCAAAGACGAAAGAGCAAAACTTGATGCCAAAATAAAAGAGTATACATACCTCAATTCACTGAGATGTGGATTCCGTTTCAGACTTTGGGATCTCGTTAACAAAAAATTAGTAAGAAGCCGGATGTAGTCTTCTATGAAGATAAAATAATTATAGACATCGTGAAACCCAAGTGTAGGTTGTTGTTCGAAGTGAAGAACTTGTCTCTTCTGTACTAGCTGAAGCAGGGGGAGAAGCCATTCAAGAAAATAACCAACAAGAAGAGCCACTTGCTGAAGGTGATGAACAAAGGGATGTTGATTCAGGTCGTCCAAAGGTCCAAGATAAGAACGATGAACCAGACCCTCAACTAGAAATGCAAACAAGACAATCTACAAGAGTGAGATGTCCTTCCATAAGATACCCTCCTAAAGAATATATTAATGTTGCTGAAGATGGTGAACCCCCGAGCTATAATGAAGTCATGATGAGCTCTGAAAAGAAATAATGGAAAAAGGCTATACAGGTTAAGATGCAATCCTTGCATGAAAACTAAACTTATAAATTGACTGAGCTGCCAAGGAAAGACGAGATCTGAAAAATAAATGGGTATTTAAGATCAAGCATGAGGAGAATGGCCAAAGGTCAAGATATAAAACAAGAATTGTTGTCAAAGGCTGTAATCATAATAGAGGAATATATTTTAAAGAAATATTTTCCCTTGTAGTAAAAATGACTTCAGTCCGAACTGCATTGGGAATGACAGCCTCCATGGACTTGGAAGTTGAGCAAATGGATGTGAAGATGACATTCCTCCATGGGGATCTTGAAAAAGAAATATATATATAGAGCAATGTGAAGGGTTTCGAGCTCTTGGTAAAGAAAATTGGTCTGTCGATTGAAGATGAGCCTCTATGGCTTAAAACAAGCTCCTCAATAGTGGTACAAGAAGTTTGAAGCCTTTATAATTGAGCATAAGTCCATAAAGACAAAGGTCGACCACTGCGTATTCATTATAAGACTTAAAGCCAGAGATTTTCTGATTTTACTTTCATAGACGAGATGTTTATTGTAAGGCAAGATAAGGTGAATATAGTTGCCTCAAAGAAGGTGTTGAGCACATCCTTCGTTGTGAATGACATTAGCATTGCAAAGCAAATTCTTGGAATTAAAATCATCAGAGACCATCAAATAAAGCTACTATGGCTTTCACAAGAAAAATACATTAAGAAAGTTTTGAAGAGATTTTGCATGGGTCAAGCCAAAACAGTTTGTACACCCTTAGCTGGACACATAAAGCTGAGCCAAGGGTGATGTTTGAGGCCTGATGATGAAAAAGACGAGATGTTGAAGATCTCATACCAGTTTGATGTCGGAAGCTTGACGTATATTATGGTGTTTACAAGACTTGACCTGACGTACGCTATTAGATTGGTGATTCGATGTCTGTCGAATCCCGAAAAAGAACACTGGGTAGTCGTGAAGTAGATCTTCGGGTGCTTAAGAGGAACTCCAAGCCTAGGCCTCTGCTATGGAGAAGGTATGGTCGAGCTTAAAGGATTTACATATGTTAATTTAGGGGGGAGATGTTTACTCCAAAAAGTCAACGATGGGATATGTGATGATATTTACAAGAGGAACTATCTCTTGGCAATCAAAATTACATAAATGTGTTGCTCTTTGGACGATCGAGGACAACTGAAGCTTGCAATGAGATGATATGGATAAAGAAGTTCTTCCTTGAACTTGGTCATGAACAAGATATGTACGAGCTGAAATATAAAAATCAAAGAGTTATTCATTTGGCAAAGAACTTTACCTATAACTTCCGCACAAAATATATTAACGATATCATTGGATTCAGGATGTGCTAGAAGAAAAATAACTCAAACTCGTCAAGGTGCACACCCATCTTAACTAGTTCGACATGATGACGAAGCTAGGAAGTTCGAAGACTACTGTATATGGGCGTTGTGTAGGGGTGTAAATAGGTTAGGTTAGGCTAGGCTAAGCTTGACTTAAATACGCTAGGCCTGTGTAAATATCCTTAGGACTGGCCTGTGTAAATATCCTTAGAACTGGCCTGACCTTTTAGCTTGTATAGGCCCAGATTATAAGTTTGACCTGACCTGTATTTAAAAAAATAAAAGCCTTGACCTAGGTCTGTTAACCTGTTTAAACCTATTAAACATTCAAAAATTAAAAAATAACTAAAATAATATTACTTTGTTATTCAAAATAATTAAAATAATAAGTTTACTTATTTTATTTAATATAAATAATATGATAGAGGCCGGCCTGTAGGCTTATAGGCCCGACATGTACAAAAAAGTCTTTGGCCTATTTTGTAAATAGTTATTTTTAAAATTATAGGCCTATTCTATTTGACTATTTGTAATAAGTCAAGTCTGACTTAATATAAGTTAAGTCGTAGGCCCCTGTAAGTCGACCTAGTCCATTTATACCCCTAGCGTCGTGCTATTGAACCCAACACATTAGAGTTGAAAAGGAGATTTGTTGATGCATTCCTCCTTATCACTTGGTGGCTAAGCAAGCTTTACATTCATTGGTGCATGGTTCAATCTCTGAATAATCACCCCAATTATGCTTTACCTCATTATTAGAGAAGATTCTAGAAAGAGGTTAAGAGTATCAAGTCATCTCTATATAAAGATATGAAAATCCTTGTATGGTTAGCTTTTTAGAAAAAGCTCTCAAGAGAAGTTTGAGAGAATGACCTTTTTAGAGAAGAACATTTGAATACCATCATTGTTGGTGAAGTTTGAGGGTATACCTCTAGTACTACTAGGAAAGCTTGAATCATTGTAACCCAATTATTATCATAGTGGGAGACTTTCTAGGCTAGTTACTCCTCTATGTTAAGAAGGGAGGTTTTTCACTATAAAACTTACTGTGTTTTCCTCTTCATCTATTTACTTTTGCATTTTTTATATTGTACGTTTGGGCTGACTTGCTGATAATAGGCCGACCTCTAAGTGCTAAATTGGTACTCCACTTGAGATATTATTTGAGATATTTAATCCTTTATGGTCTAAGTACACTGTTATATTCATAATGGTTAATTAGATCCCCTTTTATAATTTACTTTATTCCTTACTATAGAGCCCGTGGTTGAATACTTAGGCACAATTATTCAAAGGAAGAAAATGACCGGATAGAGTTATTTTTATGGAAGCTGTACTTAGTTCTATATATTACACTGGAATTTGACCTGGCATTTGTCTTATTTGAAATCACACCATTAAAACAACCATTAAATTTTTTAATTTCTTTCTAATAGTTGAGTTCAACTAAAAATCTTTTTATTTGTTTTTGTAATTGAATGAAACTAGTAACCACTTCAGCGAACTTTGATTTCAAGTATATGTACTTTTACAAGTCACCAGTACTAAATGAGATAATGCCTATTTTTTATTTTGCATGTTGATAATTTCTTGTTATTCTCTATGCCTAATCTATTATGCTCATTGATAGACATGCAAAAGGACAACAATGAAGAAGCTTCATCAGGACAGGGTCATCCATTGCAATTGCTTAAAAAAGTATGGTATCAAGTTAGACAATTGGAAAACAAAAAGACTTTAGAGTTGATAACTGAACCTTGGCCACTATTGTTTGAGGCAGTAAAATTAGGAAATGTTGAAGTTGTTAAATGGCTTCTTTACATGAATCATGAACTACTTATGATAAAGGATAATGGAAGGAACCTACTTCACTTTGCTGTTTCCTATAGACAAAATAGCATTTTTGACTTTATACTTAAAATGGGGACAGTGAACCTTATAATACGAGCAGTGGATACGGATCGTAATAACATTTTGCACTTAGCTGCAAGTGAGCCACAAGAAGTATCATCAAGTTTGAGACCAAACATTCGAATGCAAAGAGAACTAGAGTGGTTCAAGGTGAATTTCCTTATTCTTCTCTTCTTCATGCATGCCATGTGTCATCTACTTCCTAAATATATGTTTCAGATTGTTTGAAGTTAGAAATACCTTAATTTTAAAATACAATATTGATTGGGTACAAATTATTTTCAGAATAGCATAAACTTTTATAATCATCATATAGTAGCTTTCACTCCATTCCTGCATTTCTTGAGATATTTAACATGTAAAATTTATTTAGTATTGATTGAAAGATTAACTTTTCATTAACATTAATTGATCCCAACGCATCCGCATATATATATATATATATATATATATATATATATATATATTGTTACCACCATTAACACATACTTTTGATTAATATTATTGCATATATAGGAAGTGGAGAAGAGCGTTCCTGCTGAATTAAGGACAATGAGAAACAGCGAAGACAAGACACCAAAGGATATGTTTGATGCTAATCATAAAAAGTTATTAGACGAAGTTAAAAAAGCAGAAAAAGGAATAGCCAAATATGGCATGCTTGTGGCAACACTTATTGCTACAGTAGTATTTGCTCCAGCTCTCACCGTTCCAGGTGACAAGACCAATGCATCGTTTGTTGTCTTCTTCTTGACAAATGCAGTTGCATTATTCACTTCTGCTGCATCTATAACCTCTTTCTTGTCAATTTTGTCTTCACCAAAATTCACAGAAAGCGATTTCATCCTCTCACTTGGGTATGTGTTTCTGTTTATTTCCATTGTCACTATGATAATAGCTTTTGCTGCAGCCTCCTTTTTGATATTTGATCACACATCCAAGTGGGTTGCATATGTAGTGGCATCATTGGGGCTCCTCCCAGTACTTCTGTTTCTTGTGCTTCAGTGGAGCCGTTTCTATGGTGCCCTTCATTACTTCAACGGGTTAATTATAGATACTATCTTCAATTTTCGAAGAAAGTTCGTACCTATGGATGTTAAATATTACCCAAGGGGTGTACCTATGTGGGTAATACATAAAAGAACCTGGGTTCCGATTCCAAGAGTTGAAGTTAGGGAGATATTTGAGGCCGACTTGTTTCAAAGAGATAATTAGGACTGGTATATCACAAAAATAGATGTAAAATATTTGTTTGATAATCCAATAAGCTCCTCATTTAATTCGCAGGACACTCTGTTTTAGAGGATGAAAGTGTGCTCGTACACAATAAATATATATATACACACACTCAATTATGTTTTGTAATTTGTTTTGTGAAATAATTAAGGTTGTATTTGAACTTGAGATTGTTGTATTTATGTAAACTTCTATGGTTTTCATTTGAAAGATGTTTATTTTTTTTTTGGACTTACAAGAAGGGTCAATGCCCAAATTACACAGTTACATTGTGCAGGAACGAGACTCTTGTTAGCGTAACAAGATTCCCTCACATTCATCAAGTGATACGCAAATCATGCTATACAGGGTGTGCGTCAATGTTATTAAAATCGAGATTTTAAGTAAAATTAGAAGGAGACTAAAAAATCGTAAAACGTAAACTTGTAATGTAAAAAAATCCGTAAAAACATAAAATCATAGTGATAAATCGAGATTTTAACAACTATGGTGTGCATGACAACCTTCCCGGAATCAATTCTTTTTTAATTTATGTTCCCGGGGAACAGAAATGAATAGGAAACTCGTTTGGTAAAATCGGTTTATTTTTTTGTTCCGGGGATTAACCGGTTTAATTTTTGTGCTGGGGAACAGAAAAAAGAATCAAAAAATTTCTGTTTTTTTGTTCCCGGGCACAAAATGAGAAACACTTATCTCTTTCGATTACTCTCCACCTCTACCATCATCCCACTAGTGCCGTCGTCACCACCCCTCACCACCATCAGAGGCGGATGGAGGTAGATGAGAAGGGGGGCAAGTGCCCACCCTTAAAATATAAGTAAAAATACAAAAATACACTTATGTTAAAATTCAAGTTTTTCCAATTTAATTTCGAAATAGGATATTATAACAATTAATTAGGGTTACTACTAATATTATTACCAATCATTTTCACCGTTAGATCGATTATGTTGATCCAACGGTTATATTTATTTTCATCTTTTTATAGTTATGATTCTCCATATTTGATACTTTATATTTATTTTCACTTTTGTATGGTTATGATTTCTCATATTTAATGTTTTTACATTAAATATGGGGATCATAATCATACAAAGATAAAAATAAATATAACCATTGGATCAACATAATCGATCTAACGGTGAAATTGATTGGTAGTAACCCTAGTTGGTTGTTACGATATCCTGCCCCTTTAATTTTTCTCCATCTATTTTATTTTCCCGTGAGTATTTTTTCTCTTCCACCTTTATTATCCAAATCTAACAGCAGAGAGCTCTGTTCCAGACCCATCATTTGCATATGCATACTGATTCATCTCCTCTCAAATCTCAATCTCCGTTATTGGAAGTTGAAACATTTGCTTCTTCTTCCATCATCGGTCTAATTGAGTCACAATCCGTCCAGATCTAGATCTAAACCAGATCCATTCAGCCAGCCGACAGCTGCTCGTAAGTCGCGTTCCAGATCAGACCTAGATCTATAAGTACATGAACTTGTTGAGTGCCCACCCTTCGTTAATTTTCTGGATCCGCCACTGACCACCATGATGTCACCGCCACCATTACCTCCACCTCCACCCATCACTACCACCATGCCACCGTCACCACCACCACAACTACCACCGCTGCCACCATCACCACTATCACTGTCACCGTCACCACCACCATCACCACTACTGCCATCAACCACCACCACCACCATCGCCATCACACGCCACTGCCACCACCACCACTGCCACCAACCACCACTACTATTGTCGCAGCCACTACTGTCACCACCACCGTCGCCGCCGCCACCAACAACCTCTATCATCGTCACAGCTATTATCGTCACCACTGCCACCAACCACCACTACCATTGCCGCAGCCACTACCGTCACCACCACCGTCGTCGCCACCACCAACCACCTCTATCATCGTCACAGCCATTATCGTCACCACCACCACCATTACACCACCCCCGCCACTACCATCACCACTACCACCATCACCACCACCATGTCACTGCTACCATTGTTGCCGCCACCAACCACCATTGTCGTAGCCACTGCTGTCTCTTCCACCACCACCATCCCAACCACTACCGCCGTCGCCGCCATCATTACCACCGCCATTGTCGCAGCCACTGCCGTCTCAACCACCACCACTATATCTTCACCACGTTACTGCCACCACCATTATCGTATCGCCGCCGCCACCATGCCACTCGCCGCCACCACGCCACTCGCCGCCACCACCACCACAACCACACCATATGGAAAGAAAAGTGATGATCTGAAAAAAATTTATATTTAATAGAAATTATTTTTATTATATTATTTGTTGTGTTATCAAACACAATTCTTATTCTCAGAATAAAAATAGAATATGTTATCAAACACATTTTTTTTTTCTTAGAAATTGTTTCAAGACATAGAAATAAAATAGAATTGTTTCTTTTCAGAAACAGTGCTGAAAAATAGAATGGTTGTCGTCATACACATCCATAAATGGGTGCCACCATGATTACCCTGCGGCTAATTTGGTGAATCGTATTCGAAATTTGATGCAGCGAGATTGGCAGATTTATATGTCTCACATTCACCGAGAAGGAAATAGAGTAGCGGACTTTCTAGCCTCTTACTCTTATGGTTTCTCTTGGGTAATCCAGGAATTTGATTGTCCACCGTCAGGTTGTATTGATAGTCTGTATGGTGACACTATAGGTGTTCACTGGTCTAGGCTTTGTGCCTAGTTTCTTTTTGTTGTGTTTTTGTTTTAATTTCCTATTATTTCCAAAAAAAAAAAAAAAAAAATATTGTTCATGACTTAATTAACCCTTGGTTCAATATATTTAATTTTGTTCCCCTTAAGAAAAATTTCTGGCGCGGCATTAAGTACACAAGGAATACACACGCGGTACGATAATAGAAACTATGTCCACAACACCACAAGTCAATTCTAACAATCGAATCAACTTGTCACAAGGTTCCTTTACCAAACAAGTGAAAGTAATCAAAAGTTTAAGGATCTTGCAAAAGCTTGGAGAAGTAGATGTACAAACTGTGATTAATGGGCGAACAAAATCATAAAGAAATTAAATGCTTGTAAAAGCATTATTGCCTATGGGAGCCATCCCCATCAAGTTTTGAGAGGTACGTGAAGTGAGTCCCAACTCCCCACGTACACCTAAAATCTGAAGGTAGTGCCTACCCTAGGCAATGCCTACATGACATTGCAATTTATAAAATTACAACAGTGCCTATTTCTAAAAGGAATAGTATCTCCACTTTTAGCCTAAACTAAGGTAACAAGGAGAGTACTCAATGTCCTATCCCTCCTAATCTTCTTAGCGACTAAGGATATGTTCGGAACATCTGATAAAGAAAATAGGATAAGATAACTTATCATATCTTACTTTTATCTCTTGTTTGGTGGGTCAATAGAATATGATTAGCTTATCCTATTGTCTCATTTTATCCTATCCAATACATGATTTCTTATCCTATAGAGGAGAGCTGGGTTATGATTCAATAGGATAGGATACAAATATTGGATACCCAATATATCCTCATGCTACCCAATATATCATCACGCTACCCAATATATATGTATTTATTGCATTATATTTTGTTTTTTTTTTCTTTCTCCTTCAACATAATCTTATCAGATTGCTAATCAGGTGCTCATAAAACACAGGACATGATATAGGCTTATCAGCCCCATATCATATCCTACCCTTATCAGCCTCATATCATATCCTACTCTTATTCTATTCTGCCGAAGCCCTAAGAGTATGTCTATTCTAATTCTCCATCAGAACTTTCAAATGTATCACCTACATGAGAAGCCATTATTAAACCAACAAAGGTTGATGTTGATTTCTTCATCGTAATTCTCCTCATCTGCATAAGTCCTTCTATTTAGGGGTGAAAGTTTTAATCCAATATTATTATTAGAACTATCACAATCCACTCAATTAATGTCTTAACTTCAAAGAAAATCACAAAAAATGTGAAAAATATGATACTATACGTACCGACCATGATGCTCCACGTATTAATTAATAAATCTTGTGTCTACAAATGCATATAACAAAACGATAAAGGAGGAAGTTGTCCCCTGCTTTCTCTCCTACTGTAATTCAATGAAATCATCGTTGACCATGCTCCGAAAAACGTACGGAGAATATCTGATTGGTCACACGATGGCAATCAAGTAACCAAAAAAAAAAAAAAGCAAACACGCACAGGATCTGCCCCAAAGGGGACAATATTGTTGACCAATCCAAACCTCTTCTTCCTTCAACTATATAAATTGACTTCGAAGAGACACATACAGTAGAAAGAAAAACAAAGAAACACTACAAGAAAATTTATTTTTTGTGCTAATAAAAATCATCATTAAAAGTTGGAAAAATCGTGACTACGGTATTTTTGTGACGATATTTCACTTCGTCAACATTCGTCACTGTTGTTTTAGTGACGATTTTTTGACATGACACTGAAAAAGACATTTATTGTGACAAAAAATGATGTGACAAATATACGTGAGAATTAATGACGAAAATAAATCATCACAAGTATTTACAATATTGGTGATGATTTAGTCATCACAAGTGTTTATAATGACAAATAAATTGTTACTATTATATTCCAATAATAGTTATTAAATTTTTTCTCACTATTATAAATTTTTTATGGTAAGTTATAATTTTTTTATTTAAAAAATTGAAATTGTGACAATTTTAATCATTAATAATGCTTCTATTGTAATATTAATGTAATAACAAATATTTTTGAATTTAATTTAAATAAAAATCAATTAATGTGTTCAAAAGATAAAGTAAATTTTATCATCAAAGTTGAATTTTGGATCGGCTTCCTTAAAGATAAGGATATTTCCAATATTATTCCACAATTTCCATCCTCCTTGTAAAAATCCACAATATGGTACATAATCAATAATAAATGAAATTGGCATTTGTGGCCTTTAAAATAA